GTCTCCGCGCCTGGCGCAACTGCTTCAGCAGCTGCCCCTGGTACCCCCCTGGCGCGGCAGAAGCCGCCCCCGGCCCTGCAGCTGCAGCGGCCGCCCCTGGAGGGCGGGCAACATTCACGGAGGCATCATTCCTGGCCTTCCAGGCTCATCGCAAGTCGTTCAGACCGCTCCAGCGGCTATGCCCTCAGCTCGCTCTCGACGCGGTCAGCGGGGCCAACGCCGCGTCGCAGACAGCGCCCTCGGCCCTGCGAGGGAGGGCGTCGAAGGCCACCGTGCTCGCCCCGCGCCGCGGCCTCGAGCGCTGGCGTATCCCTCATTGCGGCGTGCTTAGCGGCTGCTCGCGGGTTCAACCGCGGCGCGTCGGTGGCCGCGCCCATTGTTGCGCGCGCGGTGCGTCGTCGTGCCGCGCCGCGTTCTGCGCCGCAGTCGCGCAGCTCGCCGACGGCAAGCACTCCACCAGCGGCCACCACAGGCCCGTGCTGCGCAACCTGCTCGAGCACGGGCGCAACTGGAGGCGCCGCTGCTCCGGCGGCGCGTCGCTGTCTTCGGCCTCGGCCTTGCTCGCGGCGTCGTCGTCCACCGCAGGTTCGCTCAGGGCCGCGGCCTCCAATGCTGCCCCCCTCCCTGGGCATCGAGGTTCCTATGGGCGCTCCCTGTTAGTCAGGCGCGCCGCGCCAAATGCTCCAGGTCGCCCCCCAGCATCGCTGAGGCCCCGCCGTGCCCCTTCCCCCTGGTCTCGCTGCTTGCTCGCCCTGCTTGTCCTCGCCACGCCAACGCTGCGGCCTCACCGTGGGGTGGTTGCCGCCCCCCCCCACGGGGCCCCACCTCTGCTCGAGGTAACTCCTGCGCCCCCTGGGGCCCGCTGGGGGCCCGCGTTCGGCTGGGCGCGCTTGGGCGCGGCCGCCCTCCCTCTCGCCGGGGTCTGTCGCGTCGCCGGCGGTCGAGGGCCCCCCCCGTCGCCCTCCCCGCCTCTCAGCTGCCCTTCCTGCTGCTGCTGCTGCCTGGCGCTCGCGCCTAATGCTGCAGGGTGTTCCTCCTCGATGCCGTGGCCCCGGTGGCGCGCTCCCCGCCGCGCTGCGTCCTTGCTCCTGCTTTTCCCGCCTGGACCGCCGCCGCCTCGGCGCAGAAGGGTGGCCCTTTTCCTTCCCGCTGCCGCGGTTTGCCGTCGCGGCGGGTTGCCCCCTGGTCCAGGCGCGTCGCTGCTCGGCACAAAGGAGACCCTGGGCCCTCTCTCTTCGGCTAGCCCGCCTTGCCGCCCTTGGCATCGCCCCGCTGCCCTCCTCCCCCTGCTCCTCGGGCGGCTCCTGCACCTCGGTCGTCCTGCCGGTTTTGGCGATCCGGACTCCTGTCCGTCGAGCGCCCGCGTGCAAGCTGGCCATTTCCCTGGTGTCGATGCGCGGCTGGCTGCCGTCAGTCTGCTTACGACGTGCCTATCCCGCGGCGCGAACTGCTGTTCGGTCGTCGCCGCTCGCTCGTTCCGCCGCCACCCACAGCGGCTGCTTCCGACGCGCAGAAGGCTTGCTCACCTTGCAGGGATGCGTAGCCCTTGCCGCGCTCAGCCCCCCGCGTGCTGCCCCTCGGGCAGGCGCAGGCGCTTGCGGCTTCCGCTATCTCCCGCGGGGTTGCCCCGCGCCGCAGTCACCGCGGGGCGCCGCGCTGCCGGCTAATCACCCGCCACTTTGGCGTGCCCCCCCCCCGGCGGTTGCTAGCTGCCGATGGCGCCCCCTCCGTGAGCGCCTCGCCTCCCGCTGCTCGCTTGTTGTTTCTCTTTTTCTTTCTCCCGTGTGCACTTTTGGCTCCTGCTTGTTAGCTGTAACTTTGGACGGCGCGCGGCCCTTCCGTCTGCGCCCGCGAGCAAAAAAGTATCGCCGCCAGTTTGTTTTCCCTCAGCCCGTGGCGCAGCCTGCCCCTGCTCGCCCGGCGCTCGACCCGCTTCGCGCGCCCGCGTGGCAAACAAGTATTTCCACCAGCTGTTTGTTTTACTTCGCTGCGGCGCGGCCCGCCCTGGCGCGCTCGGCGTTCGATTGAGTCTCGCGCGCCCGCGTGCCAAAAAGCCCCCGCCAGCTTGTGATGCCTCCCGCGCCATTTTGGCCGCGTTGAGCCCAGATCCGCTCTGGGCCGGGCGCCGCTCGCTTCGCTGTTCCCCCCTCAGCTTCGGCGCGGCCCGCCTTAGCTTGCGCGGTGTTCGACTCGTCTTCGCGCGCCCGCGCGCCGAACAAATATCCCCGCCAGCCCATTCAGAAACAGAGCGCCAAGCGAGTAGCCTTGATTAGGGAAGTGTAGAACCATGCAGTGCAACAGCCTCCTTGGAAGTGTTTTCTTGGAGGTATTTTGGGGCCTTTTTGGATTTGGGGGGCAATTTTGCGTTCGCGGTTACGAAAGAGGGGGAGGTCGGAAATTCAGCTCCGCCACGTCGGAGGCTCAAGAATGGCGTCTTGGGGCGGTTTCGGGGCGCTCTTGAGCGCTGTTGGGGCTGTCTTGGAGCCCCCTTGGGCCCCTCTTGGGGCTCTCTTGGGCCATCATCGGGCCATCCTGAGGCCTCCGCGGCCCATCGGAAGCGAAACGGCGAGAAGGCAAAACGTCATCAAGTTGCTTCAGGTTTTGGAGGGCACTCGAACCCGTTTTGGGGCCGTCTTCAGGCCTCTTGGATGTGGGCCGAACACTATCTTGAGCCATCTTGAGCTACTTTTAGCAATCTTGGAGGCCATCTTGGGGTGTTTCTGAGGCCCTCCTGGAGCCATCTTGGGTCATCTTGGGCGCTCTATCTACCCGCGGCCCACCCCCCCAGGTCCAGGGGAGGGGGCAGGGCAAGCTAGGTGCGCTCGCGTCATATCTGACGTCCTACCCCTCCCTCCCATCCCTTACCATGGCGCTGATTTTCTCTACCCGTGGACGCGTGTCGTAGCGGACCTGTGGCTCCGCGCGCGCGTTCGTAGTGGGTGGTGGTGCGCGTGCGTGCGTGCGTGCGTGTGTGCGTGGTTGTGGTGGTGGTGGTGGTGGTGGTGGTGGCGGTGGTGGTGGTGCTGGTGCTGGTGGTGGTGCTGGTGGTGGTGGTGGTGGTGGTGGTGGTGGTGCTGGTGGTTGTGTGTGTGTGTGTGTGTGTGTGTGTGTGTGTGTGTGTGTGTGTGTGTGTGTGTGTGTGTGTGTGTGTGTGTGTGTGTGTGTGTGTGTGTGCGTGCGTGTGCGCGCGTGTGCTGTGGCATGGCACGGGAAATGACGCCAGCGCTGCAGCGGGAGCACGAATCGAAACGGGCGGAAGCGCGGAAATGAGGCCAGCGCTGAAGCGGGAGCACGATTCGGAACGAGCGGAAGCACGGAAATGAGGCCAGCGCTGCAGCGGGAGCACGATTCGGAACGAGCGGGGCCCGAACATGAGGCCGTCGCCTCAGCGAGAGCAGCATTTTGAAAACAACTGCAGGCGAAAACCCAACTCCCGGGAATCCTGTGTGTAAAGAAGCAGGACGCGGGGGGGGGGGTCGGGTACTCCCAGCACGCCATCAGGGGAAGAGGGATCATAGTATTCATATTGAATAACTGTGGAGGGGTAAACCTTCCTGCCCAGCAGGAGAAGGAGGGTTCGTTTTGAAGAGGGAACGCAAAACTCGGTAAACCACCTACGCCCAGAGGGCTGGTGGAATTTGGCCCCCCAATCACCCGAGTGGGGGCGCAGAGGGGGGGGCACCCTCCTCGGTGCTAGGGACCATCCTGGACCCTCCCCTCCTGGATCCCCCTCCGCCGCCTCGCGGAAAAAAGGCCTAGAGGGAAGGGCTTCTTTTCGATTCGATTGTGACCTGAGTCGATTCGCCTCGGGTTGGCGAAGTTGGAGAGCACCAGGTGGCCGCAGGGAACGGGAGGGGAGAGCTTCAAACGGAAAGGCGTCCCCAGGACGACCACCGCATGAGTCCCCCTCTTACACACGCCGACAGGGTCGGCGGATTCACTCCCATAGCTCTCCGAAGTGGACTTCTTGTTCTCTCTGGCCGCTTTGCTCCGGAAGAGGAGGAGGATGTCCCCTCGCCCTCGCATGTGTTCCTCGCCTTCGCCAGCCCTCGCCCACGCCCTTGCCATCGCCTTCATCCCTATCCTCACCAACGCCTTCACCCTGAGCCTTCGAGCCCGCGCGCACGTCCTGGGTGGCCTGCTCCGCCCGAGAGAAGCCTGCAGGGCGCGCGAAGAGCAGCGTCGCCAGCCGGAGCGTCCTTCGAGCAGCGGTCGCGCTTCGGCAACGCCCAGTCGAGCGACACAGCCCGAGCCTGCGGAGGAGGAGGAGGAGGAGGAGGAGGAGGAGGAGGAGGAGGAGGAGGAGGAGGAGGAGGAGGAGGAGGGGGAGGAGATTGCGTCGCAGCTGGCGGCGAAGCTCAGGCCGCCGCAGCCCGGTTCAGCTCTGCGTCCTCCGCGTCGCAGTGCAGAGTGGTGGGAAGGGCCGCTGCCGGTGGAGGAGTTCCTTTCCTCCTGCGTCGTCCCCAACTGCTCTTCGTGCATCCTCCGAGGCCTCTCCTGAGCAGCGTCTCGATTGAGAGGCGGGATGACCGAGCCTTGCCCGGCCTCCCGCCCTGCGGAGCGGAGCGACACGCTGTCCGCTCGCGGGGCACAGCGTGTCGCCGGGGCCGCCGCTGCCGCACGCTATCCAAGAGTTCCTGACGGTGTTGGCCGTGTTGGCCGTGGCGCTGTGCCGTGGCTCCCTGGCCCTGTGGCGTCCTCAGGGGCGGCTCGGTGGCTGTGGATGTCGAAGCAATCGGCGGCGGGCGAGGGGGGGAAGTGAGAAGGAGAAGGCCTTCTCAGAAGACGGACTTCTCAGAAGCCCTCGCGCCTTGTGAGATGTCTTCTGTGTCCTCGGGGAGGCTTAATTAGGGAGCTTTTCAGAAGGCTTGGGGACTTCCGAGCCTTCTGAGCAGGCCCGCCCCATCTCACTTCCCCCCCTCGCTCGCCGCCGAAACAACAACCACCCTGCCTCGCCCCGGCCCCCCTCTCGGCCCCGCCGGCCCCTCCCCCCCGTGGAGGTCAACCGCCAGCGCGAGACGGAGCGCCTGGACCGCGCCAGCGCCGCGCAGGAGCAGGCCGCGAAGGCGGGGGGCCCGCTGCGACCCTTCGCCGCTCCGCTGCGTCGTCGATTCTGGCGGGGCCTGGGTGGCCGCCAGGAGGTGCGAGTCTCGGCGCCCAGAGGTCCGACGCTGCAGCAAAAATCGGAGCGGGCGGCTTCTTGGTTGTTTTCGGCCTCCGGAGGCCCTCGCCGGGCCTCGAGGCCGTCAAGAGACGACCCAGGACGAAAAACCGGCCCTCGGGAAGTGGTCCAGACCTCCGGGGCCCGCGCCTCGAAAGAGTCGGAGCAGCGGGACGTCTGGGCGTGCGCGGCATGTCCTTGCTCTTCTCCGTGCGCGTCCTTGCACATCCGAGCGCGCGCGCCCCCGGGCCACGCGAATCCCGCCCCGCCCCGGGGCGCCGGGGCCGACCCGCGGCGAAGCTCGAGGCGATCCCGCTCCAGAGTCTCCAGAGAGGCTCGCGCCGTGAACAGACCTCACGGCTCACGGCGGGGGTATTTTTCTGGGGGACGCGCTCGGCCTCCGGGGGCCCTCGCCAGCCGGGCCCCTGGGCCCTCAAGGAACGGCCCGGGATGGATGGAAGGCTGGCCCCGCTTCGGATACTCAGGCACGCGCCTTCTAAGAAGCCACGCGCCTTATCTATGGATGTAAGGCCCGCGCCTTCTAAGAAGCAGCCTCCTTCTAAGAAGCCCTCCCCCCTCCCTCCACCCTCTTGTGCGCGTCGCCAAGGGACCCCGCACTGAAAAAGTGGCGGCATCGCATGTCTGGGGATGCTCTGGCAGTCCGCTGCGCTGTGTGCCTCCTGGCGTGGCTGGCCCGATTCGGTTTCGGCTCCGTGCCGACGACGCTCGGTATCGTTTAACGAATCCCCATCCCCATCCCCATCCCCATCCCCTTCGAGACCCCCGCCAAATTACCACCCCAGTTGGGGATACACCCCTCGAAACTCGAAGGGAACGACCTATATCCCCATCTAGGGGGGTAAATCGGCCAGTGGGGCCCAGGCCACGCCGCTGGGGATGGGGATCAGTTAAACGATACTCAGGCGCAGCCCGGTCTCGTGCTGGCGCGCATCCTGATCCGATCTGATTTCGGGGACCCCCAAGCCGTGCGGTGACAGCACGGCGTGGTGAGGCCGTGGGGATTCGGGGTCACCGCGCGGTTCTGGGACTCGCGTCGTTCTCCGAGGGCGTCTCGGAGGATGGGGGCCTCCAGGGTCCCAAACCGTGTGGTGACGGGCCGCGCGGGTAAGCCGCTGCGGATTCCGAAGTCGCCGCGCGGTCCGTCACCGCGCGGTCTTGGGGCCTTGCAATGCTGTCCCGATCTGGTGCTGGAGGCGCAACTTTTCCATGGCCCCTGATCTCCCCTCCCCCTCCCCCCCCTCCTCCTCCTCCTCCTCCTCCTCCTCCCTCCTCCCTCCTCCTCCTCCTCCTCCTCCTCCTCCTCCTCCTCCTCCTCCTCCTCCTCCTCCTCCTCCTCCTCCTCCTCCCCCCGATCCGGTGCTGATACTGCCAAGGCGCTGCGGGAGCAGAGCGCCAAGCTCGTCCTGAGCGCGGCCGCCGCCGCCCAGGACCACCGGGCCAAGGTGGACAGCGCGCTGCAGGAGCCCGGGGGAAGCGCCGGCACTGTGCCCAGGCCTCCGACGCCTCGAGGAGCTCGAGGCGGAGGTCTTTCGCGGCCTTCGGCCGCTGGGGGCCCTCGCAGGGCCCAGGATTTGTCGAAGAGCGGCTCAGGAGGAAGAGCCGACCCCAGGGGAAAACAGACCTCTGGGGACCACGTACTGGGAGACTTTCGACAGTGGATGTTTCGGTGAGCATCGAGTCTGGGAGGTTGGCGCGGGCGCTTGGGGTCGATGGAGACTTCCTCACTGCTGTCGTTGGGTGGGCGTTGGGTCCAGCGCCGCCCCTGGCGCGCTTCGGGCGCCAGGGGAGAGGGGTCCAGCGCCGACCCAGGAAATCAGACCGGGCCTGCGAAAGTTTGTTTATGTTTTTCAAAGCATTGAATGCTCTAAGGAGGTCGGATTTCTTGGAGGTGGCAGTCGTCGCAGATTGCGAGAAAGTTGCCGCCAACATGCCATGCCTAGCGTTAAGTCGGGCCTGTCCCTCTACAGTCAAAACAAAGTCTGGGGACGATTTGTTTGACCATTTTTTGAATATTTGTCCGAGTACTTTGAATGTTTCATCGAACATCCGCCTGTTTGGGGGACATGCCCGACCTGAGCCTAGCGGTGCCGTGCCCGCGTTCCGTGCCGTGCTGTGCCTCGAGAGTGCAAGAAAGTTGCCGTGCCGTGCCGTGCCCGCCTGCCGTGCCGTGCCGTGCTGGGTCTCGAGAGCGCGAACACGCTGCCGTGCCGCCGTGCTGTGCCCGCGTGCCGTGCCGTGTTTGGTTTCGAGCATGCGAATCCATTGCCGTGCCGTGCCGTGCCGTGTCCGCGTGCCGTGCTGAGCCGCGTCGTGCCCGTGCGCCGAGCTGTGCCAAGCTGTGCCGAGCTGTGCCGTGCCGTGCTTCGTTTCGATCCTGCGAAGAGGTTGCCGTGCCGTGCCGTGCCCGTGCGCCGGGTCGCTCCGTGTTTGGTTCCAGGAGAGCGAGACAGTTGCCGTGCCGTGCCGTGCCCGCTCGTCGTGCCGTGCCGTGCCGTGCCGTGCCGTGCCGTGCCGTGCATGGCGTCGGGCATGCGGGTACGTCGCCGTCCCGCACCGTGCCCGCGCGCCGTGCCGTGCCGTGTCCGCGTGCCGTGCCGTGCTGTGCCGAGCTTTGTTTCGAGAGTGCAAATGTGCAGTGCCGTGCCCGTGCGCGTGCCGTGCGGTGCCGTGTCGCGCCTGGTTTCGAACACGCGACAAAGTCGCCGTGCCGTGCCGTGCTGTGCGCTGTGCCGTGAGTGTTTCAGAGTGCGGAAAAGTTGCCGTGCCGTGCCGTGCCTGGTTTTCGGAGTGCGAACGGGATGCTGTGTCGTGCCGTGCCGTGCTGACCATGTGTCTTATCATGCATCGTCGTCCCCAACCATCCTGTGGTGTTGGGTCCTCGTTTTGAAGAGACAGTCCCTGCGTCTCTTATCCTCTCCTCCTCCCCTCCTCCCCTCCTCCTCCCTCTCCTCCCCTCCCTGCCTCTGCTCTCCGCATGCCCATCCCATCTCGGCACACCCCTCACACGTTTCGCGGTCGCATAAGGAGCTCCGCCGAAGGCCCCAGTGGGAGGGTTCGCATGGCAGCGCCGCCTCTATTTCGGAGCATCCCTGTCACGTTTCGCGGCCCCACAGGGAGCTCCGCCGAAGGCCCCAATGGCAGGGTTCGCATGGCACCGCTGCCTCCATTTCGGCACACGCCTCACACGTTTCGCGGTCCCAAAATGAGCTCCGCCGAAGGCCCCAGTGGCAGGGTTCGCATGACACCGGCGCTTCAATTTCGGCACGCCACTCACGCGCTTCGTGGCCCCATAGGGAGCTCCGCCTGAGGCCCCAGTGGCAGGGTTCGCATCTCACCGCCGCTTTCATTTCGGCACACCCCTCACACGCTTCGTGGCCCCATAGGGAGCTCCGCCGAAGGCTCCAGTGGCAGAGTTCGTATGGCACCGCTGTCTCCATTTCGGCACACCCCCCAAACGTTTCGTGGCTCCATAGAGAGCTCCGCCGAAGGCCTCAGTGGCAGCGTTCGCATTGCACAGCCGCCTCTATTTCGGCACAGCCCCAAACGTTTCGTGGCCCCATAGGGAGCTCCGCCGAAGGCCCCACTGGCAGGGCTCGCATGGCACCGCCGCCTCCATGTCGGCACACGCCCCACACGTCTCGCGGCCCCATAGGGAGCTCCTCCGAAGGCCCCAATGGCAGGGGTCGCATGGCACAACCGCCTCCATTTCGGCACACCCCTCAAACGTTTCGCGGCCCCATAGGGAGCTCCGCCGAAGGCCCCAGTAGCAGGGTTCGCATGTCACCGCCGCCCCCGTTTTCGGCACGCCACTCATGCGTATTGCAGCTCCATAGGGGGGCTCCGCCGAAAGCGGTGCCCACAACGAGGTACCAGTAACTGCATACGGTTGGGCCCTTCGCCAGGATAATTTCTCAGGGTCTTGATCTACTTGTGTATGTTCTTCTTCAAAGGAGGGCATGCGGCAAAACCAGCAGGTGCGCAAGCGCTTGGAGTTCGAGATCAAGGAGACGCAGGTCAAGATCCAACGGACCCAGGCCACCATGGCCCAGACGAGGGACCGCCTGGAGTCCCTGCGGGAGCCGATGCAGAACACGTCCAGCTGCGTGGGCTGGCGCTCGCAGCGTGCGCAGACGGAGCACATCCAGGACCCCGTGTCCACGAAGCTCGCGGAGCACCAGTCGACGCTGCAGCGGAGCCACGAGTCTCTCACCCGCAGCGCGGCCGAGGAGCAGCGGGTGCTGAGGGAGTTGCAGCACCACGAGGCGCAGCTCTCCGAGGACCTGCGGGACAAGACCGCGGCCCTGCAGATCGCCATGCTCTGCCTGGCGGCCTCGATGGCGCCCGGCGGCAAGGCCGCGCCGAGCACCGCGACCTCTGCGCGGTCCACGCAGCGGAGCGCCAGGGCGATGTCGGTGGACCAGGGGCCCCTCGGCAGCGCGGGGGGCGCCGCGCTGATGAGTGCGCGGTTCTGACGGGGCGGGCGGTGGTGGAGGGGGGGGCCTTCCTGCGCCGGTGGGAGTCGGCCTCTCGGGCACCCGGCGCATTTTTCCGCTCGCGTCGGCGTTGGGGGCTTGCGCTGCGGCGCGTGAAGGAGGGAGAGGAGGGAAGAGGGAGGAGGGAGGAGGAGAAGGAGGAGGAGGAGGAGGAGGAGGAGGAGGAGGAGGAGGAGGAGGCGGAGCTGCTGCTGATGCTGATGTTGCAGATGAAGATGATGATGCTGCTGCTGCTGCTGATGATGATGATGATGATGACAATAATGCTGATGGTGATGGTGATGAGGATGAGGATGAGGATCAGGATGATGCTGATGATGATGGTGGTGGTGATGATGATGCTTCTGCTGCTGATGATGCCGATGTTGCTGATGCTGCTGGTGATGATGATGATGATGACGATGATGCTGCTGCTGATGATGATGCTGATGATGCTGATAAGGAAGATGATGATGATGATGATGATGATGATGATGATGATGATGATGATGATGATGATGATGATGATGATGATGATGATGATGATGATGATGATGATGGATGATGATGATGATGATGATGATGATGATGATGATGATGATGATGATGATGATGATGATGATGATGATGATGATGATGATGATGATGATGATGATGATGACGATGATGATGATGATGATGATGATGATGATGATGATGCTGATGATGCTAACGCTGCTGATGATGATGCGGATGATGATGATGCTGATGCTTATGCTGATGCTGAAGCTGATGAAGAGGAGGAGGAGGTCGATGATGATGATGATGATGATGATGATGAGGACGAGGATGAGGATGATGATAATTAAGGATGGGGAATATGAAGAATATGATGATGATGACGAGGATGATGATGATGCTGCTGATGATGATGACGATGACGATGATGATAATGATGATGATGAGGATGTGGATCCTGATGATGATGATGATGATGATGATGAGGATGTGGATCCTGATGATGGTGATGAAGAAGCAGAGAATGCTGATGATGCTGACGATGGTGATGATGATGAGGATGATGATGCTGATGCTGCTGATGATGATGCTGATGATGATGACGATGGGGACGAGACTGGTGATGATGATGATGCGATGAGGATGATGATGCTGATGATGCTGATGATGGTGATGGTGATGGTGATGGTGTTGGTGGCGATGATGATGGAGATGGAGATGGAGACGATGACGATGATGATGATGGTGATGATGATGATGATGATGATGATGGTGATGATGATGATGATGCTGATGCTGATGCTGATGCTGCTGATGATGATGATGATGATGATGATGATGCTGATGATGATGATACGGACGAAAATGAGGATGAGGATGAGGATGCGGATGAGGATGATGACGAGGATGATGCTGCTGCTGATGCTGATGATGCTGATGATTGTGATGATGATGATGATGATGATGATGATGATGATGATGATGATGATGATGATGATGATGATGATGATGATGATGATGATGATGATGATGATGATGATGATCCTCGCGTCTAAAGAGGTCAGGAGCTCCTAGCTCGTACTGCCCGCTAGACCGAAGCGTTTCCCTCTGGCCCTGCGGCGGCAACGCACGGTCTCGTGCCCAAGGCACACACGCAGATTCGCCTGAGTGCCGAGAAGTCGCCCCCCGCCCCAGCCGAAGCAGGCGGAAAACGACACCCGAGCAGTCACGGCGACTCAGCCCGCGACGCCCGCGAGCTGGTACGGGGCCTCGAGTGGGACCCCAGGAGGATGCTGGCCGCGGCGAGGGAGGTCCGAGAGGCGGCCCCCGCCTCCAGGAGCTCGCGCGCAGAGAGGAAGCCTGTGCCGCCGCCAAGGCCGCCGCACTCCGACCAGTCCTCGCACACGCTCACGTTCGCGCCTAGGCCCAGGCCGACCTCGCGCTTGTACTGGCCCTTCGGGTCCTCCAGCCCGCCCTCGAAGAAGCCCCCGTCCTCGTCCAGGTCCAGGCCGAACTTGCGCTTGTACATGCCCTTCTGGTCATCCAGCGCCTGGGAGGGGGCGCTCGGCTCAGGGGACTCGACCACCCACGCGTCCGTGGCCCTGAACGGAGGCTGAGCTCGGTCGAGGGAAACGCCCACCCGCACGTCTGCGGCCTCGAGCACGAGCTCGCCTCCCCCTCCCTTTAGGGTCTGCCCCTGTCTGGGCTCCCCAAGGACGCTTCCGCGTCCCGACGCCAGCCGCTGGGAGGGGGCCCTCATCCAAGGGGCTTCGACCACCCACGCGTCCGTGGCCCTGGAATGGGGCTGAGCTCGGTCAAGGGCTTCGGCCACCCGCACGTCTGCGGCCTTGCTCCAGAGCTCGCCCCCCCCATTCTGGGTCTGCCCAGCAACGGGCTCCCCAAGGACGTCTCCGCGCCCCGACGCCGACGAGGGGCCTCTCTCCCCTGGGGCTTCGGCCACCCACGCATCCGCGGCCCAGGGTGGAGGCTGGACCTGGTCAAGGGCTTCGGCCACCCGCATGTCTGCGGCCTCGCACCAAGGTCCGTTGCCCTCATTTAGGGTCTGCCCCTGACTGGGCTCCCCAAGGACCGCTGCTGGCCCCAGCAGAAGGAGGCGCTTCCGCAGGCGCCTGAGCTCCCTAGGCAACCGCACCCGCGGTCTGCCATCCAGAGGCTCCAGCTGCTCGCTGCCGTCCTCCGCGATAGCGTCGACGTAGTCCCTGAAGCTCACGGCGACTGCCGCGCGGTGGCGCCGCGCCCGCGCAGCTCGGACGCCCCCATCTCGGCCGACTCCTTCAGGCGCGAGGTCGGGCGTGACAGCACCAAGGAGGCCGGCAGGAAAAAGGGAGGGCGCCTCCGCCCGCATCGCCCCAGTGGCAGCCTCCTCGGCCTCGCGCCTGGGCGCCGCGCGCCCCTCCAGCCGGGGCCCCCGCTGGGCACAGCGCAGCTCCGCCGCTCCCGCTGTCACGATGTCCACGCCCTGCGCCTCAGCGTGGAGGGCGACATTACGCCGCAGGCGCTCGAGCCATGTGGGGGACCTACCCTCAAGCTTGGCCTGCAGCGCGGGGAGCATCGCCTGCAGTCGCTGCCCAACCTCGTCGTCGCCGATGACGGCGCATAGGGCCTCCTCCGCGGCCTCCAGGCGAAATCGGGTCTTGGCCAGCTCGCCCGAGAGCCGCCTGACGGCATTGTCGGCGGACCACTTCGCCCACTCGGCCTGCCCTGCGCTGGGCCGCCGATCGCCTTGGCGCGCACTCCGCGCCATCCCGTGCCACCATCGCTCCGTGAGCCAAGAGCCCTGTCCCCCCAAGGCCCTCAGAGGGACAAGGTCCAGGAGCAGGGGGCCTACGGAAAAGGGCCTGAGCCAGATGGCTACGGATGACGAGGATGATGATGCTGCTGCTGCTGCTGCTGATGATGATGATGATGATGATGAGGATGATGATGAGGATGATGATGAGGATGATGCTGCTGATGAGGATGATGCTGCTGATCATAATGATGATGATGATTATTGTGGTGGTGGTAGTGGTGGTGGTGATGTGATGATGATGATGATGATGATGATGATGATGATGATGATGATGATGATGCAGATGATGATGCTGATGCTGTTGATGATGAGGACGCTACTGATCGTGATGATGATGATGCTGATAATGCTGCTGCTGATGATGATGGTGATTATTGTGGTGATGGTGGTGGTAGTGGTGGTGGTGATGTGATGATGATGCAGATGATGCTGCTGATGATGATGATGAGGATGATGATGATGGTGATGATGATGCTGATGCTGATGCTGCTGCTGCTGATGATGATGATGATGATGGTGATGGTGATGGTGATGCTGATGATGAGGATGATGAAGATGATGCTGATGCTCATGATGATGGTGATGGTGATGATGGTTATGATACTTGTGATGGTGATGGTGATGGTGATGGTAATGGTGATGGTGATGATGATGATGATGATGATGATGATGATGATGATGATGATGACGATGATGATGATGATGATGATGATGAGATGAGATGATGATGATGATGATGATGATGATGATGATGATGATGATGATGATGATGATGATGATTATGATCATGATGCTGATGATGAGATGATGATGATGATGATGATGATGATGATTGATGATGATGATGATGATGATGATGATGATGATGTGGTGGTGGTGGTGGTGGTGGTGATGATGATGATGATGATGATGATGATGATGATGATGATGATGATGATGATGACGAGGACGAGGATGAGGATCAGGATGAGGATGAGGATGAAGATGATGAGGAGGAGGGAACGGAGGAGGAGAAGGAGGAGGAGAAGGAGGAGGAGGAGGAGGAGGAGGAGGAGGAGGAGGAGAAGGGAGGAGGGAGAAGCAAGGTGGATGCCGAGGGTGCCGACACTGCGAGCCTTGTCAGGACCCGAGGCGTGAGGCCTGGCGAAGTGCATCGCCAGGAGGCCGACGATCCCAAGGAAGACGCTCCTGGTTGTGCGCGGCCTGCGCCACGCCTGCATGACTCCGAGCAGCGTGCGCCACCCAGCTTGCTGAGTAAAGCGGATTTGTTCGCTCAGGCAAAATGGCTTCTCCCAGCGATGGAGGACAACATTTCACTTCGGCGCCTGGTGTCGACGCCGTCGGACTTCTGCTGGCGAGAGTTCAGGCCGTGAAGCAGGCCCTGGACAACCTCGATCTGGAGAGCTCTCGGGGTCGACGTTGCCGTTGCCGGTTGCTCGCAGCGCCCGCCATGCGCTCGCGGCCCCAGGCAGCATGCACCACCAGGCCGCCAGAACGACCCTCGAGAGCACACCGAAGCGTCTTGCTCGAGCTCTCCAAACTCTGTCGAATCCCCTCAAAAGGATGAGGAGGAGAAGGAGGAGGAGGAGGAGGGGAAGGGAGGAGGGAGAAGCAAGGTGGATCCCGAGGGTGCCGACACTGCGAGCGTCTTGCTCGAGCTCTCCAAACTCTGCCGATGCTTCGCAGAAGCCGGCTACTCGCGCTTCATTTCTCCATGGGACACACCTCACGGAAACCTCGCAATGGAAGCCGCCTTGGCTCCAGGGCGCTGAGCCGCTTCGAAATGCGCGCC